GAAGTGGAGACCAGCAACCACTCCACACTCCACACTCCACCACTCCGGCTCTACAATCTGGCTGTAGAATCGGCATTTCCCTATCTGTTTTCACCAGTTTTAAGAACCCAAATGCTTCTCAAAACCCTATTTGAAACTTCTGGCAGGTTGTCACACCTCAACCATCAGCCTGACCCATCTGCACACGAGGCTTGCCTTTGGAAGCCAACATGAGGCACGCCTGAGTCCCGCAAGGTTGTTCCGAAAATCACGCAGTCTCTCCTGCGCAAGGCTGTGTTTGGAGGTTTTCCCACGCAACGCATTGGCAGCAAAGCTAAACAGCCTTCTGAACTGTCTCTGTTTCTAACCCGTAGACTGTCTTGATAAGCTTGCTAGCAACTAAAAGGCCTACTAGATGCGTGGCTTTGTTCTTTGTTTGAAGTGGGCCACTGACTGCACCGCGGTGGACAGAGCGATTGTCTAGCCTCTTCCAAGCCCCCCCGCATGAATGAAGCCCATATGTAGTTTATACAAGCATTTGCGGGTTTTTAGACGTCACATGGCAAGACCGGTGACATGGTTTGACCATGGTTGACCTATTCACCTTGCTGATGGCACCTCGCAGTGCTAGCGTGGTGGGAGGCAGCAAGGACAAGCACTTGCAGGACCTCACAGAATCGAGGACAACAGCAAGAACACCTCAACATCGGTCTCTCTAGGTCACTTAGTAGAAACAAGAAGCTTACTAGACTGATCCCTTACAATTCTGCTTCCGTGCTCTTACAGCGTTGTTTAGACCCTTACGCTGACATCACATGTGTGAAAATGACCCGACGATTCGTTGACCGGCCTGCTCAGGGCGGCGCAACGATCGGGCAGGCTTTGAGCCAAAGAACCCAAAACCAAAAGCAACAACCCATCAAATCCTATAAACAAACATTAGCCAAAATATATCCTTGGACGGGCCTGTACACTCCACTACATTACATTACTTTGCCTTACATCACATACACACATACATACACACCAGCACCATGCGAAGGGTGCCCAACGAGTTTGGGAATTTGATGGTCTGTAAGTGACGCCTAATGGACGCCCCTTTGAAGCTTCTGGCTTCTTCTTTGCTCTGCTCGCCCTCCTCCTTGCGCTTCTCATCTTTGCCTCCTTCTTCATCTTCGCTGCTCTCCTCAGCCTCCTTCTCCTCTTCTTCTTCTTCTTGAACTTCTTCTTCTTTTTCTTCTTATTTGTCTTTTTCTGTTTATTCTTCTTCTTCTTTGCTCTCCTCGGCCTCTTCTTTTTGTCCTCCATCTTCTTTGCTTTTGGCGGCCTCCTTCTTGTCGTCCTTCGCGTCCTCATCTTCTTGGCCTCCTTCTTCTTCACTCTGCTCAGCCTCCTTCCGGTCCTCCTCATCTTGACCTCTGTCTTCTCCTTCTTCTTCACTCTGCTGGTCCTCTTTCTCGTCCTTCTCATCTTGACTTCCCTCTTCTGCTTCACTCTGCTCAGCCTCTTTCTTGTCCTTCTCATCTAGGCTCACTCTGCTTCTCCTCCTTCTTTTTACAATCCTTCTTCTTTTGTTTTGCTCTCCTCACACTGCTTCTCCTCCTCTCGGTCTTTCCTCTTCTCCTTCGATCTTGACTCGTTCTCCCTCCTTTTGCTCTGCCCTTCTTCACAGCCTCCTTGCCCCACCTTTGCTTCTTTGGGTCCTGCACGCAGCGGGTGGATATACCTGGACCATCCACATGGTGTCCAATGGAGTAGTCCAAGTGATAGTCCATTGGGAAGCTCTTGAGTGGTCCTGTTACCATGGAATGAGATTGGAACAGTCTGTTGGACATATTATGGGGATGCTGCTGCAAGTGGATCGGAGTGGGACAATGAGTTGGATATACAAGGATGCTGCTGCCATTCGATCAGATTGGATCATTGGATTAGAAGTGATCTGCCACATTGGATCGGATTGAAGCATGGCTGGGATTGGGGTGCTGTGCACCCCTTGGCTGCACTGGCCCATCAAAGTCCAATGACCGTCCAATCATGTCCAATCAGTGTTGAATGGACTACCCATAACGATCTCCATTGGACACCCACTGGTTTGATATTATTTTAACATGTAAAGGATATCAGCCCTGGTTGGAAGGTTGGTTGGTCTGATAGACACAAAAGGCTCTATTGCGCCGAAGTCTGAGAAAGTTGTGTCAATGTCTAGCGACAGGGTCTCCATCTGATCTCTAGAACTCCTTAGATGATTGAAGAAGGGACCCTGTGACTTCCAGTGTGCCACCATCCATATGGTGGATCAGGCTTCGGGAGAGCCATGAAAAATAGCATGAAGAACTCCCTTTCGAGGGTTCGGTTGGCCCAGCAAATCAAATGGTAAAGGCTTGGATGATCCAGGGGAACCAACGTCAGGGAGATCAACTCCAAACACCAGACAAGTCACAAAGATACTGTCTTTGATGGGCCTTTCTTGCTAGCAGGGGAGGCAAAGGTGGCACCCTTCCTTCTTGATTGCCAAGTAGGACACAGTGGCATCGATATCACCAAAAAACAATCTGAAAACATGTGCAATTGTCAGATGAGGAGACCTCTTCAACAATCCAATCTCGGAAAGTAGCTGCATCCTTCCCCAAACCTGAGTGCGGCTCCAAAAAAGATCAAGCTTCACGGACTCGTAGTTTCCGTGGTCCCACCCGTAGCTTGGCATCAATCCTGATGTCGCCACCAGATGGGAGTTCATCATGCTTGAGGACATACTGTGTGTGGGTCCAACCTTCTAATCATAGCATTGGCGAGTTTCCTTATCGCAACAGCTCAGCGGAATTCAACCCCCTTCTGCTCGTCAGAACACATGATGCGCAGAAAAGACTCCCTGAGGTCGGACTTGAGCTCTTCCTTTTCTTTGCCATGGCTCCACTGTCCGAAGGGTGCCAGTGAGTTTTGGGACTTGACTGCCTGGGTCACTCAATGGGTGTCTAATAGACTGCCCTACACTGCTGATTAGACTTTCATTGGATGCAACTGGATGATCCTGGAACGATTGTGAGGTATCATAGAATGATAGGTGATCTTGGATGGTTGTGCCATCCCTGGCATTGTGTTGTGTTGAGTGTGGTTGGTATGCTAGTTTGACCAGACCTTCACGCACCCTGAGCGCCGCGCTCGAATCCCCTTCCAGGCGGCTGCGGATCCACAGCAGCGGCGGCGAATGGTTCGATCGGCCCCGACCCGGTGTGGGGGATAGGCAATTGGATACACATGAAAAAACACAAAATCTTAAGCGGTGTGGTGGATCGACACAAGGAAGAGCTAGGCTTTGGATGAAACATGAAGTTGCTTGTTTCAAAAGCTGGAACCTATTCATCAAACCAGCCCTTTAATAGTTGGGACATGTTAGGACAGGGATCCCAAGTCCTTCATGACATACCCGGGTATTTGCCATTCCCGTGCTTCGCAGTAGGAAGGCAGCAAGTGAGGCGAGCTCCCAAAGAGTTCGGGTTTGGAGTCTGCGCGACCGGTGGCGCACTGTGCAAACGGCTGAGCAGGATGAACAAACGTGGAGATGTCTCACAATTTCGGATCCGCTGTCAAAAGGGCAATGTTGTGCTAAGGCTGCTAAGGTGCTACATCTTTCTTGCAGTATTAAATATGCAGTGAATCAATTGAAATCTCTGTACATCTCCTAAGTATCGAGTAGTAGTGGATGTCATGATGCACAATAAGTCACTATGTTGAAGAACATGATCAGCCACCTCAGCCTGTCAGCGTGACCGGTCCCGCAAAACGTCTCTTCGGAGCAGTGTTCAAAACGGACATGCCACCCAGCTGCGGCGAACACAACACGTCTCTTCACCCAGAAAACAACATATTTGTGGAACAGGAGTCTTCAATCAATTCAACCTGAAGGTGAGATATATGCCCTATGCCATTCAAAAACGTTGGCTCCTTTCTACAAAGGAGGCCGAATTTCTGTGGGGTCTCCTCGTTGTCTTTGAGGAAACACCAGGGACTTGTGGCTGAAGAAAGCACCTCTACAAGGTGGCTGATGCAGGACTTCTTCAGAAAGAGCTCTGGCGCCAGCACCAAGACCCGCCAGAGAAGCCGCAACAAGTGAAGCCGCCGAAAAAAATAAAGCGCCAGGACTGGTTCGAACAGAGAGATCCGGTTTCAAGATGAAAGCGCCCACATATGAACAGGTTTCAGGTTTCAAGATGAAAGAATTCCAGCTGGGTGGATCCATGCCTTAAAAAAAGAGGCCGAGAGGGGCTCCGGCACCGCCTGGCTCAGCAACGTCATGAACGATTCCCAGGTGAACAAAAAAAAGAACGGTGGTGACACCCTGTTGCTCCACATCAAGCACACCGGATACAGCAGTCTCGTCTGGAGCATCCCCCCATCTTTTGAGGATTGGTGGTGCATCTTCCACCTTCGGTTTTACAAAAACACCAACCAAAGTGATGTAGCTTCTGCCTGCTTCTGCCTGGTAAAGAGCTGTGCCTTTGAGCCCTCCTCGCCACCCAGTCACTTCTTCTTCTTCTTCGTAACCTGGCAACATGGTGGACCCCATTGTTCACGGACTCTCCAGCTGGAGCGGATTTGAGCTCGTGGAGCTCTTCTTTTGAGGTTTGACCAACAGAATCCAAAATATGCTGTGAAAAGCCTATTCATCAGACGATGAATGTCGGCGATTGATTGCAGAACATGTTGGAACCAAAATGCCTTGCAGTGCTGCGACCAATGTGTCTGGGAGTTCAGTTCTGTCGACCACCATGTCACACCACCCAAGCAGCTGTTTTCAGTGGGGCGCCACCAAAGCAGCGAATATCAATGAACCAGTCTGGTTGTTCTACATCGCAGGTCGGACCGACGACCTTCCAGCGTGACATGTAGTCACCTCTACAGTCATTCTATCCGGATCCAACCAAACACACTGGTCATCACGAATGTGGATTTCGGTGTCCATACCGTGCCTAAATCAGGCCTCTCCGAGCACACCATGCGCGTGTTTGTTGCGCCTTCCAAAGCTACAAACGGCCACTGGCTCCGTTCAAGAACTGAGCGAAAAGACCTTGACCGTCGGGTCTTGGACAGTCCCGCGCAAGCAGTCACTGCACGGAATCACAGAAGGTGCCGGTTTACTGTTGTCACTCACCTCCCAGCACTGCATGGGTACAAGCTTGGAGACTTTAGGAACTCGTTTCAGGTTGCTGTCGCATCTCTATTGATCTGGTCTTCTGCCAGTTCCGGCAATGTAGAGAATGAATGAGAATGAATGATCTACCTGATCTACCCAAAGAACTCGTTTGAACAACTCCAAAAAGGCTTCATCTAGGTATACATGACCTACACTTACCAGTCATGTAATGTATTATACTGCGGACTTGCTAGGGTCCATCCGTCCTCTCCTTCCAGGCTATAATATGCTATAATTAAACACTTTTCAATAATGCTGAAAAAACGACCAGAACTGCTTGGTTTGGTGAATCAATTCTAGAGTCGTTCCATGGATGGAGCCTAGCGGTCTAGCACTCCCATCTTCTGGCGATCACCCTCGAAAACGACGACACCTTTGGAACGCAGTACGTGAAGTTCCCGCTTCCATTGATTGTTTTACAGTAAATTCTGTATGAATGGTCCTGAATGGTGAAATATATATATATAATTATATATACAGTATATAGTAGCGTAGCTTCGAAGGGAAGGCGCTCCGATAGATGTTGTTGTCTTTTGTGAGATGGTTCCTGTTCGAATCACGGAACCAGAGTCGAGTCGACTCTGCGACCGTCAAAAAGCACAGAGTTAAACTGTGGAGCAAACGAATCCCTATAATGGCCCTATAATTCTCTGGACAATCGAAAACTGAAAGGGTTCCTAACCTGGCCAAATCATGGCCCTCCCATCTCCCGAAGAAGTGGAGTTGGCCTAGAGATGGGCACGGACCCATGAATGGATGGCAGCCGCTCACCCTTGGTTCTTGCCAAAAGCGGCTGAAGGTGAAAGCGGCAAAGTAGTAACCTAGGTCGGTCGAATCGCGGTGGCCGCCACATGATATGTTTCGGCTATGATTAGGACCCGACATAGCCGCCAAGTGGATTAATACAAGGGACAACAGTATGTCAATGCCCTGCAGCCCTCAATTGCTGGATGACTCTCATTGGAATGGATTTGAACATTCAGATCTTGGTCTTTGAGACACCTGCACCGCTAGTCACTAGTACCTCACAGCCCGTCCAATCGTTCTTCCGTGCTGCAAAGGAACACATCTTTTGCACCGACCCTGCCGTCAAACGCACACCCTTCATGTAGAAGCCAGCTTCACTTTGAATAATGTATTGTACAACCTCCGATCGGAAGGCCGGACTTCTAAATCCTCTTCATTACATGATTTCATTACATGATGGGTCAAGGTGTCTGACAACATGACAACAGTCTCAGTCCTGAGTAGAAATAACCCAACTCAATACTCCACTACTTCACACTGGTCTGTTGACGATGCCATGTGTCACTTGGTCACAAACAAAATGTCTAACAAAGAAAGAATGGTCGCTCACGAGTGCTCACTGATCCCCGGGTGCTGACTGAATCATGGCTTCTGGCCATCTGAGCGATGCCAGGAGCCCCTAGTAGCGTCCTTGCTCCTAGTAGCGATGCAAGGAGCCCCTAGTAGCGTCCTTGCTCCTAGTAGCGATGCCGGGAGCCCCTAGTAGCGTCCTTGCTCCTAGTATAGCGATGCAAGGAGCCACTAGTAGCGTCCTTGCTCCTAGTAGCGATGCCGGGGCTCCTAGTAGCGTCCTTGCTCCTGCTGCCTAAGATATCCTAAGATCACCTATAGTAACGGCCAGCACTTCGAATAATGTTCTAAAAGGATTTCCGTTTAGGTCCATGTGTCCCCGGGTCACTTGTCCGTCGATGCTTAGGTAGAATATCCACACATCCACATAGAATATTCACACCCACAATCACCCACACTTAGAATGTATGCTGATCGTGCTATCGCCGCAGATCAACCACATAAGAATTAGAGCAACCTCCGACGTCTTTGATCCTTCATCTCCGACGTCTTTGGGTGGGAGATGCCGGGGTAATCGACGTCTTTACGGTCGTTAAAGTCCCATGTTCTATCTGCAACCTATTCTGCATCCTAAAGCTATGTACAAATTCTAAGTGCCAGCAGTCCACTATAGACAACCCGTACGACTAACAGTAAAAAAGTGTTGACATGTTTACCTGTTCGTTTCTCCTATGCTGTCTTTTTGACTTCCTTTTCTTATACGTATACTTTTCTTTGCCTGCTGTTGGCCCTTCTTTGAGCTCCTTCTTGCGCTTTCCTAGCCTTTATTTGCGGTCACATGACAATAGTGCTAAACTCCTCACTATGCACGCTGGCTTTTGGGTGCTGACATCTCACTGTTTTTCACCTGTTTGCTGTAGCCATCTGTAGCCGCCACCGGAGTTACGGAAGAAACACGGCTGCCCCGTTTTGGGAAGCGCGTGCCCAGTTCAATGCATGCCCCTGCCTCCACTTTTGAACACAAAAACTGCCCCACCTTCTCCCACTAGAGAATTGGTATAGTGCCATTGAGCTTCTGAACAATGTGGCATGTGCAGGTCTTTGAATTTTCTGCGCGGAATCAATCTGAAAGTCTGAACAAAGCTGGTTTAGCCTGATGGCTGGTACATAGGGCAAAAGAAAAACCTCCAAACCATTCCAAACCAAACCACCAAACTTGCCCTTAGGCCCTACATAAAGACAACAAAGTAAACATCAGTAATTACACTAGAAAAAAGAAGAAGTGGAAGTAGTTTACAAGTTTAACATCTCTTTGGAGGTCGTAGTAGAGTGATGTGACGACATGAAGATCATCAAATTCGATGAGAGATGAGGGTTCGAAGACTTGGCCGAGCTGCGTATTGACGATCATGATCCTTAGACTGAATTCTGTAGTCACTGTAGTCCGCAAAAGCAAAGTAGACTTGGCCAACATAAGACAAACATATTTGTTTCAGTAGTTAGAAGAAGCTAGAACACGTCCGGTCCAAAATCATCCAAGCATTCCAGAACACAACAACCACAACAACAAGACCAGCCGCAGCAGCAGCAGCAAGGCAAAAAGAAACAACCACATCCGGCGATGGCTCAAAGCATCTTCCCATATTGAAGAAACTAAAACCAATTCACCAAATTCATTATTTATTTTTCTGTGGGGGGCTGGTCATTTGAGCCATGCGGAGACGTACTGATGCAAATCCCACGATCCATTAGCGAGATGTACTCGCCCTTCTTGTTCTGAAATTTCCAAGAGTTGACCTGACGGACTCAAAAAGCAAAGGAGAGGGATGAGGATGAGGGGATCTGAAAACGTCGTTATGCAACTTCGAAGTGTCTGCTTCAGAAGGATGGTGTTGGTTTGTTCGGAAGCTTTCTGTTGCGGTGCATTTTGATTTCTCTGTGCAAAGACTCCTCAGGGAAGGACCTTCAAATAGAGATTCCTTAGGCTCCATTCTCTCATTCCTTACTAAGCACCAGTCAAGTGTTAGAGCAGGGGATCCTCCAAAGACCACATGGGGCGATCCCGAGGTTTTTCGCCGGACCAATCCATGTATTCGCTGCCTTGAAAAACACAGGTTGTAGTTTTATGTTGTTGTGGGAACATTTTGAGGTCGGATTCGTGCATGGCCCAACGATGCTTCTAAATTCTAGGACTTTCGCTGCACAATCACTACACAACTCGCCTCCTGATATCCTCTCCACATGTTTGTGGCTGTTTGTGTTCCGTTTTTTTCATAGGGAGACCCCCAACCGGCCCTGGCTGGGTAGACCGACTGATCCAACGGGCCAAGGTCGGAACGCGTGGCAGGTCGGTCGTTCCCTCCGACCGAGGGGCGAGTGGAGCCACCCGGCTCGCTTTCTCCGTCACGGCCGCCGCTCTCAACATGGTATAGCCGAAGAGCCTAACGAGGCCCGGCTCCAGCACAGGTGTTGCCGGACGGGGGGCTCCCAGACATTCCTCTTTCAGGTTCCAAAAATCGATGCAGGACAGTTTTTGAGTCCCAAGCACAGCATTTTCTCAGGTATAATATGTATAATGCATGTAATTATAATGCATGTATACATCTGTATACTGTATACTGCACTGAGTCTTCTGCAGTTCTCATGATATCTCATTTCATGACTCAGCACTCTGATGGTGTCGGGCTCTACGTTGATGGAGGGGAATGCTGCTCCATCCATCTCCAACCGATCTTAATAGGACGTACTCCCCAAATCGGTCGGCAGCTTCAGCCCGAAAGCCACACTGCTGGACAAGTGAAGAGAATTCGATGTCCAACACACGGGACGTCTGCACTCATGAACTCCATTGCGGCTTTGCTCAAAACATATGACTCAAAACCAACACAAAAAATCCCAGTCTTCCGGGGAAGCTCGGAGTTTCAAACGCCAAACCGAAGGTCGATCAAACCACTGTTCCTCGCACGTGAACCACCGTTGCTCATGTTCTTTTGGTGGCAATGCTCCCCATTCACCCAAACTATCCATATCCAAACCGAACCCCACGGTGCCGGACAGGTCTCCTACTCAAACATACTTGAGCTGCACAAGCGTCAAGCGTGGCGTGTAGCAGTATTGCCTAGTCTACTAGTCACATGAGTCACAATTGGTTTGATCAAGGCTGATCTGTCTGTGTCCTTTTTGCTATGAGTCATACACGAACCCATCGCATAGTCATCAGTTCATGAACCAAACGGGCGTTTTCGGAAAATCAAATGGACCAAGATGGACAGAGACATGTCTGTGGTGTCAACCACCTATCATGGTGCCATTTCGAGCGAAGTTGCAGGATTGGAGGGTAGAGCCAACCCATCCACAAGGAGGTTTGCAGCAAACTCCTGAGCGCCACAAACGACAGAAGCACACTCCAACAACAATTGAAGTTTGGAGAAAGCAAGAATGTGGACACCCTTGTCTGGGAAACACTTCTTGAATTAAGCAGCTTTGCGGAACAAGAAGCCACCTGACAACGAAAAAAACCACTCTGTTCTTCAGCCGTATCATCCTGTGGTCGTTCCCCACGCAATTGCTGACGATACTCTGAAAAAGAAAGCGCCCTCCTTGCTTGCTACTGGGGCAGGATACCCCCTGAATGAATCGTTCCAGGTACCTGAGACCACGTCTTCATTCAATACAGTACATAGATCCCCTTAGCCCTCTGCCAATACAGCCTCCAACCTAGCGATGGCCTCCAACCTACTAGCGATGCCCTCCAACCTACTGGTGATAGCCTCCAGTACGTAGATCCCCTTAGCTTTTTTGGGCTTCCATTGGTATCATAGACATAGCGCTCTCCCAGTCCGACTGCTTCAGGCAAGGATCTGCAGCAACTCAGGATTGTTCAGCAGCTGTTCTGCCAAGAACATCAAGCATGCGAAGCAGCAAATTCCCATGATCGTGATTGAACTGCTGATCTTTCCTCAGTTGACCGGTGATTGGTGAACCAAACCGATGCACTGGCCGTCTCCCCCCCTCTCTATGTTCAACTGCCCAAGTTCAGGCAGAAGCTGGGCCGCATTTTCCCTAGAAAAGAAATTGCAAACGAGAACCAAGCACGCGGTGTTCCAAGCTTCTTTCTGCCCAGACACTCCTGGACCCTCATATGAAAGGACCGGACCCTTATATGGAGGGGTCCGGGGTCTCAAATACGGTTTCGAGGGACCAAGGGATATCTGGAGCGTCTGGTGAAGTTGAAAAATTAACAAAAAAACAAACACCTCCAGGCTTCAACCTTTTGTCACCCAAGACCCTCATCCGTTGAACCGCCGTCCCCCCGTCGCCGACCCCCCGGTCCCACCGCGGAACAAAACGCGGTCACACCGAGTGTCCACTGCACTGCCGTAGTGTGGCCTGACGGACGGTGAGTCAACAGGCTGTTTGTATCCGTTCTGAGTCGTGATAAGTGAGATGATGATCATAAGTTCCCTAGTCACTAGAGTAACAGGCTGTTTCCAACTTTTTATAAGCTTCAACTTTTCAGAAGTTGTAAATGAAACATGTGCGACCCATGCCCAGGCGGAGACAGTCAAACAGTCAGCCGTCCAGATTCTCTTGCCGAGATGTTCTAAAGTGTATGATGTGTATGTACTGCAGGATGAGGAAATCCATCGAAATCGACTAGGTAGAAGATGTATTGGATGGTACAAGTGTAAACATAAACTGTAAGCCCTGTGATAACTCCAGTGCACAAATTTGCAGATTCTTTGCGCACCTGCTGAGACCTGACAGGGTGGCCTCGGATGACCTTGGGATAGTCCATGGGCCCCAGATGTCGATGTTCAAAATGTTCAGCCCAAAGACACCCAACAGAAGTCGCCATCGTAGTAGTAGTAGTTTCTTGCTTGTTCCTAGTAGTAAGGCCAGGAGCCCCTAGTAGCGTCCTTGCTCCTAGTAGCGATGCCAGGAGCCCCTAGTGGCGTCCCCTTCCAAACATGCTTTGGAAACGGTAGCTTTTTCTCTCTGCCCGGGGACCTCTAACTGTAACTAGTCAATTGCTTTCATATACAGTAAGACTCGTTGACTCGCTTAGCTTTGTCCAATACAACGTGCACCTCTGGGTTTGTCCAATGCGGACCTCGCCTGAACCAGATTCCATTCTTCTATGGCTCTCTCCATGTCCATGTCACGGAAGAGGCGCAAGCCAAAGCTATCCTGGACGCTCAGTACCAAACTCCAACCCGGCCGTGCCGAATATCCTAGATCGATCGATTAAGGGAAATCAATGACGGTGGAGAAGTTGAAGTACGAGGGATTACTCTGCCGGACATCAAAGCAAGAAGGACATGAAAGACCACATGATACCACATGTATAGAAGGGAAAGGATCAGAAAGAAGAAGATGAAGAAGGAGATGACTACCCAGAAGACAGTCTGTGCCATCACTTCCATATATGGATGCTGCTGCACTTGCCTTGTTGCTGAATCGGAGCAATAGGCCAACGGAAACCCTTTGAGTGGCGGGCAAAGCATCATAGATAAAGGGGGGTGACAAGGAAACACATGGAGGGGACAAAACGACGACAGGGGCGTTTACCAACCACCCCTAAGGAACTCTCCATGAAATCCTATTTGGAGCAAGGACGCTACTAGAGGCTCCTGGCCTTGCTACTAGGAGCATTCTTGCTTCTAGGAACAAAGGGCATCGCTACTAGGAGCAAGGACGCTACTAAAGAAGTGTCTTAATCCGGTTGAAAACTGGTCGAAATGCCCAACCACCTGTAAGGACCAGGTGATCCTCCAGGCAACAAACCTGGAGAAACATGCTCCCGCCCAGGTTCATTGAAGACTAAGAAATCACCACGGGAGAGGAGAACAATTGAAGACTAAGAAACCACCACGGGAGAGGAGAACATCTTCCAAATCAGCCAGGGGCTATCTGCTGTGATCAATTTCTGGTTGACGCAAACACTTGACAAGCGGGCCCATGAACATCTTGCCACGTGTCTATGGCAAGTTCCAAGCCGCAGCAAATATGCAGCTGGCAGAAGCAAACCTTGGTGCGACGCCGCTTGGACACGTTTGGACCTGCTGGAGTGAATCTAGAAAGGGAGAATTCAACATAGTTCAACCACTTCCCCCATAAAGGTGTGATTTGTTTCAGTTGGTCCTTGGGAGACTTGGCACATGTTCCTAGTGCGAATATAGAGTCGGCCATAGTTGGCCCGTACTTTTTGTGAAGTCTTATGTATGTGATTGTATGTGTTTTTGAGCAGACATGAGCAAACTGAACATGACTCATGTCTTGTGGGTCTCCCTGTGTAAAAACTACTACTATACTGCATGTAATATCCACGGACTTTTTGCAGGTGGACCAGGCGCCAACTGGCGAGGCCAACGTTTCTGACGCGCCAACTATTTGCATTCAAGGAGCCATGACTAGACGCAAGATCATCAAAGAGAAGGAGAGGCCAGGCAGAATATCTAGTGCTCCACCTGAACGAAAGGGATTCGACAAGCTGAAGCTGGGCCGCCCATAACTGTCACTATCTGTCACTCCTATTGCTCCCCCCTACCTCCTGACTTTCTCCCACACATCCAGCTCTTCAGCTATCACAGCCGGTGTCATGGTTTGGTCGCCCAGGGTGCACAGTCTATCTGCAGGTCTAAACCACTCCTGCCCGTTCAATCCCCACGGATGTCATGGAAGAAATCCTGCCGAATTCTGTCCACCTTGTCCAAGCAAATGTCTGGAACAAATGAGAAATAGGAACAAATCCCTCAAAGCTCAACAGGAACCCTTCCTGAAAAGTTGGCTTCTTTTATTTCCAACGGAAGCACCTTCCCTATCCTTCTTTCACTTCGCCCAAAAGTGCAACCTCCATGACACCGGGACCCGAAAAGCCGGGACCTCGCCTGCGATGGCCTTGCCATAGCTCACATTATCCGTCACAAAGCTGGCAATCAGGCGACAAGACCTCGGTCCATAAGACGGTCAGACGTGGTCGAGCGAGAAGTGAAGGGGACGGTCGGACGACTGTCGGACGGTCAGACGTGGACCCAAATGGGTGTTGCAGACGGTTTGACGTTTGACTGGAGTCCACAAAGACCCTGATGCCACTTGGTGAAATATATAGGAAACCTCTGTTCAAGTGGTGAACGTGCAGTGGATTTAGATGGATGTAGTGTTCCCATCAACAATACATGCATCGTGTCTCCTCATACATATTCAAAGGTTCAAGTTGTTGTCCATGTCCTTGGACATCTGCATGATCCACATATTTGCATTTCGCATCTCTGCTGCGAACAAAGGGTCAGGTGGTTATGAGTTATAGCATATAGCATCATATAGCTAGCTGTCTATGATTGTATATGAGTCGCCTAGCTGATTGCACCATCCCCACAGAATCTGTGTCCCCGTGCTTATGCTTCAAGCCAGATCGGTTTCCTGATGTACACTCCTCAAAACTTACGAGGAAGTAAATCTAGGCGAGGACGCTGTTTACGAGGAAGTTGGTGATCATGTAAAATCCCCCCGGGAATAGACCACAGACAGGTAAGGTTGATTGGGACCATGACTTCCTGGTTAGGTTGATTGGGACATGCTTTAAAACACTTCCTGGTAAACCAAATGGCTGGGTGTCTAGATTTACTTCCTCGTAAGTTCTGGGGAGTGCACACATGCCATCGATCATGTGCAAGGTGAATTCACAGATACCTGCTTTGATTAGAATACACAAATGCAAATCTAACGGAATCTAACGAGGAATTTAAAGAACCTCTCTCTCTTGATCCTGTTTAACGAGGAAGTTTACCAAGTTATCACAAAAATTGGTAGGCTTCTTTGTTGGCTAAATGCTTCTGGACATTCTAGTTTTTGCACTGACAAACGAGGAAGTCGAGCAAGTCTAGCAAGTTTAGCATGTCAAACTTACGAGGAAGAAGTCTTTCCCAACTCAAGAATATGACACGCAGAGCCTCCACAGTAAGATGCTAAACGAGGAATATTATAGGGAAACTACTTCCTCGTAAGTTCTGGAGAGAGTAATTGTTGCATCACATGTCGCATGCCAAAGGAAGTGCTAAAGGAAACTCAGCTAGCATGTTCTGGAAATTGGCCGTAATCCACCTGCTTCAAGGTGCACGTGCCTGGGCTGCTAGATGAACACCCCAACCAGTCTCTTCAGTCGAACTTCATCTACAACCCAGTACGTACTCAGTCTTACTCACCGCTCTCTCAGCACTTGAAACCTCACATCGCGCCGTCCGAAGAACGGACAGCGGCACCGCTCGTGTTCCACGGCCATTCGCAACCGAGCCACACGATGAAGACGTAGAGTCCCGTGACCTCGCCCAAGCGCCAGAGGGACAACTTCTGCCAATCTGCCCTCAGGTCCATCCGACGGCGCTTGGGTGTCCCGTTGGGGTCACCGACGAGCTTGGGAGCGGCTGGAAATTCGGCAGCTTCGGCAGCTCGGGACCGAGCAAGATCCTGCCTGGCTGTAGCCAGTGATGTTCAGTCACCCGACCTTCAAGACACAGAAGTAGAACCTCTGTTGCTTTGCCCCATGGAATGCATTTGAATCTGCCGGCCTCTTGCGCGGCCTCTTGCGCCAGCGTGCTTATAATATATGTCGAATGTTGTATGTTGCTGATGCATTGTAGCTTAGTGATCACAAATCGGGGCCACCTCACGGATCACTGGACCCTCACAGCCAGGGCTCGGACCCATGACCGGTGAAACAAATACATCTTTCATCATTTTCTTGCACACATCTTTCAACTTTCAAACCATCTTTTAATCATGCAAGCTGGACATCCAGTGTGGAATGGAAAACCGCTGTCAACTCCCCCAAGTGTGTTAAGTCTGCGTTAAAACATGGCCACCAGAATTCTGATGATGGCAAAAGAACAACTAGTAACTAGCTTGGGTACCTTCGCTGCTGAGTTCCTCCTGCCGTTGCCCCCCAAATAAGAAAACAAACTCACAATGGGGCCCAGGGCCAGTCTGTCTCCAATCATGTCAAACGCACCAGTCCGTTGGGGGGGGGGGCTGGGCCACCCGCGGTCGGTCCCCCGACAGCCCAAGGCGCATGAAGCCTGACTCCTCCGCATACAAATCGAGGCCTAACATCGACCGAGGTCGGTCCATGTTGGGACCGTTTTGGAGTCAGGTGGAAACCACCTGGTTCACCTGGTTTGGATTTGAGATGATTTGAGGAACCTAGGGGAAACATGATAACACTGACTAGCTTCGCTAATTAACTTGGACTATGAAGACCACATCCATCCAAATTTTCCCTCTTCCAGCACACTTCCAAACATCTGGAAAAAGATTCGAATGGCCCAGAACTTCAGAATCCCCCACTTCCAACCCTTCTCTCGGTCATGTGAAACACCGCGAAGAGGAGGAACCCCAAACACACATCAACAGCCCACGTCCGGTGCAACCCCCCCACGCCCACGTCTCTGGGCCGGGTTCGTTCCACCACGGGGCGGTGATCCACCGGCCCAAGCAGGGAGGTGATGCCACCCTGGCGGAGGCTTAACCTCGGGTAGACCCTGGCGGACCGGCCCCGTGCGGCAGGTGTGCAGCAGGGGGGGGGACTTCGCAAGACAGCGAAGGTTCCTTTTGAGAAGAAAAGGAGATAGCCTCAACATGCCTCAACTCAACACAGGTGCTTTGTAAATAAACCAATCATACAAGTACTTCACTCTTGAACAAGTCCTGGACTTCTTGCGGACCAAAGCGGAGGAAGGCGACGTTTTGGCCAAGGCACGTGGCGATGACACTGCCAAAGAAATAGCCTGAGCAGTCGAGGACGCTCACCAAAAACATCCGTCACCTCCCGTCACCTTTGCAGTGACTCGGTACAAACAGACTGAGAAGAAGTCCCCGCACCCCCCGCACTAGTACTGGTGGGCTCTGTTGAGTAGCGCCCGACAGCTTGCAATGCAAAACTCCAGAAAGGTCATAAGCTTGTGGGATGCAAACAGTCGAGACAGCCACGCTCACATTTGTTCCATATCCATCCACCTCAGAAGATCTTTTGACCCTAAACCCACCTGAAACATTCCGACCACCAACGATTGATTTCCATGGATTTCCAATTTCCAGGACAAAACCGCAACAAGCATCACAAGCTGTTTCAAGTGGGTCAACCAGGGTGAGCAGGGTATTTACTATAGGCTACCTCTTGCCGTCTCCTGCCATTCATCAAGAACAGTCCTAGGACTTCTGGCTACCTAGGCTCGGAGCCAAAACCCCTCTGGGTATTGGTAGCTGGCAGGCTCCAATGCAATGCTCAAGCAAAAGAGGCTGTCAACAACGGGGTTCAAAACCTGTATGAACTAGCAGACCAACCAAGGCCAATGTACCAAGGGTCTCAACCCTTCCAAGAGCGAGCGCTATCCGAAGCACCCTTTTCACTCACCTCGTAGCTCCATGGCGCGTTAAGCGCGAACAAAGGCAAAAGGACATCCTGGGATTTGGGCCACAGCAAACCGTCGGAGATCAACCATTCTCAAGCTTGGGGGAACACAAGTGGCTGTACCTGTCAAGAACGTTTTCCGAAATGCCCCAAAACTCTTGATCAAAGACGGTTGGCTGGGCGACCACAGGATTCTCTCGTCCGGCCTTCTTGAGTCGTTTCGAACTCGTGAAGCTTGGATCATAGCGAAGGGTCCATGATCCCTCAACCATGACCTTCTCTAAAATTCCAGGAGGCAGTGGCTTTGTGAGCGCATCAGCGATCTGTGACTCGCTGTGCACCCACCGCACAATCGTTGAATTCCGCTCAATGGATTCAAGGAGGCACAACACTTCCAAAGCGGTGTATTTGTCTTTCAGACCTGCACCGCTGGAGTTGAGATCTCGCTTGATGAGCACATCATACAAAGCTTTGGCATCTACGATCACCGCTCCACAAATGCGGCATACAGCCAATGAAGGCTGCTTCAAATCGACTTGGATGCCACAAAACTCTGCCCAAGCCAGCCTAGTGAACATCAGCTCCTGATCACATTCCGCCAGGGCTTGGGTCTCTGCGCTCAAAGACGAACGAGCCTTTCGCTGCAAGCGAGCCGATCGCCATGACACCAGTGACAGTGGGCTCCTGGTGCCTTGCAACATCTTGGGTGACGCTGCGGCGATGACATAGCCTCCAGTGCTGCTAAGGTCCTTCCGGTTGGCCAATGCCGCATCCGACCAACCTAGGAAACAAACATCCAAAGGATCGCCAACGTGCAACTGGTTCACACGCACTGACACATGGCGACCGTGGAATGCTTCACGCAGCAACTTGTTCGTGGCTCTCAATGTACCAACTGTTGCACTGCTGATCTCGCTTTGTAGCTGTCCAAGTCGGGCAGCAAGCAATGGTGAACTCTGGTTGATTCTCCACTGCAGGGCCCCCAACACACCACGCAGCTGTGTCAACTCCTCTGCTTTCACAGGATCGTGATCTTGTCGGGCCTCGAACTCGATGGGTTCAATGCCCTCGATGAATTTGGAGTGACTCAAAACAAAGCTGAAATCCTCTTGCTCCATGATCTGCAGGCCACAATGTGTGAAGCTGGAAAACTCCCAGGGCGACCATTTGAATCGGCTGTAAAAAGATGTAATCTTGGCCACCCATTCTTCATTGGCTTCGTCGCCGGACACCAAGAAATCGTCCACATGTGAGCAGACATATCCCAGTGTTTCCTGCCTACCCTCGGTGGTGGATTCCCCATTGGAAAACAACAGCCACAAACACGGGTCGGTCCGGCTCTGAACAAAGCCAAGTTGCTTCAGTGTGTTCTTCACACACTGGAACCAAGATGCTGGAGCGTTCACGAGCCCGTAGCAGGACTTGATGACCTGGACGGCCTCACCTGCTTTCAAACCAAGTGCGGTTGCGAGCTCTGGAACAGGCAGTGCGAAGAGGTTCCGGTCGGCTTCTGAGGCCTCGCCCTGAAGGAAGGCGCTCTTGACGTCGCCCTTGAGCACTCGCCAGGCGCGAACCGAAGAGTACTGCAATGCCAGCTGCCTTGTTCTTCTGGTCATAGTCGGTGCGGCAGACTGGATGTCCTCCAGGTCCGGGTCCTCATACCCGATGAGAACGATGCGGCCCTTTGCGGCTCCGGTGTCTTTGTACGTCAACACCCACCGCATGCGAACCAAACGGTCCTTGGGCACTGGTCCAATGGCCTTTCGAACGGCCTGAGCAGCGAGCCATTGGGATACCTCTGCATCTTTGGCTGTCTTGAAGAGAGCCTTTTTCTCTGGTGAGAGTTCGTGCCATCGAACTTCTGCTCCTTTCACTTTCTTCACAAAGAAGGTCTGGGCGTCCCTCTTCATAGATCGCCATTCGCTGGCTTTCACAGGCAAAGAAAGCTCGATCTCGCAAGCCAAATCACCAAGGCGAAGCTCGCCCTTTGAGGAAAAGAAGCCATGTGCCAGCAGCTCATCGTCGGTCTCAGCTGCCAGCTTCATCCTCTGCTTCTTGAACAGTGGCTGCTCAAACAGCTCGGGCATGTTCCTGCCCTGTGCCATGGCTGTCGGGTCATACCCGGGATCACGGATGACGCGGCCGAGATCTATGGGGGAGCGTGTCCCGCTTTGGGGTCCGCTAGAAGGTGCACTACCGCTACCCAAACCAGGGGTTCCGGGGTTTACGGAAGAAGGTTCCCGAAAAACATCCGTCTTCTTTTCTTCTTTCGTTCTTGATGCCTTGGCCTTCTGACGTGCCCCTTCGTCGGCCGGCATCTCACTCACATTTCTTTTTGGGGTCTGCATCATTCGGACATCTTCTGGGGTCCGCTGGGCATCTTCTGGGGCCCGTTCAAGCCTAGGCACTGAAGAGCTTCTCCGAGGTCGCGGCGTTGTAGGTGCACCACTTTCTGGACCAACTGACCTGGGTCGCCGTGGTGTCTTCGGCGCACCCTTTGAGATCAGGTCCTCTGGCAGGAGGTGATCATCCAAGATCTCGTACTCACCCTTGAACAGGGTGGCTGCCAGGTCATGGAACGTCCAGGAAGCCGTCGGTGCTTGCATTCCCTCTGCAATGAGGCGTTCTCTCTCGGAGGCATGTCGAAGTTGTTCCGGGGAGCACCGTTTCAAGCGACCATGGCTCACTATCCAGATGATGCTGCTGGGGCGTCTCTCGAATCCCTTGGCATCGGTTCGGGTTTCTGAAGCCAAGACACGACCGGGGCCGTACCATCTCCAAAGTTTGTGAGCGAGGCGAAGATGGCTTTGAGGCTGAGCTGGCGGCTTGATCCGTTTAAAATAAACTAGATCTCCTGGCAAAAATGTCGTCTTCCTCCGCGTCTTGGCATTTGAAGCTCTCGAAATAAGTTCTCGAGACTGCTGCTGGAGGAAAGATTGCTGTGCCAAGATCCGGAGTGAGAGGTTCTTCATCATGCTGGAGCCAGGCACTCTCACTGAGGTCCAGTACGGATCGTCGTACCCATTCTCATGGAACCGGCCAGTCACAGTCGGCTGTCTGCCAAATGCCCACTGAAATGGTGAATAGCCCTCGATCTTCTCGAGCTGGTTGTGAGCCTGACAGGATTGAATGGCGGCCTGCCACGGAGTGCAATCACTTCCTTGTAGAATCTGGCGGATGGTGGCCTTGATGGTTTGGATGGACCGTTCCACGATCCCTATCTGGCCATGATCTTCCGCCGCGCATGGAAGAAGTTCGACTCCTCGTTCTTCAGCCCATAGTCCAAGTGCATTGGACCGAAAGGCTCCTTCTGGATCCATTCTGATCTTGCCAGGTAGACCGTAGTGCAAGATCCAAGTGCTCTCAAGGCCATGGATGACCTCATCACTTGTCGCGTTGCGCGACTCAGCTGCCGGATGCTCGTAGAGGTAGTGGCAGCACATCAGCCTTGAGGCTTCGTCCACCATCACCATCATGTGGTAGGTGATGTCGGACACAGTGAACTCCATGTTGTCAATCACCAGTGTCTCCCATAGAGTTTCTGATTTTTCCAGGGAAGATGCTGGATGTAGAGGTGCGGCACGTAGTTCCTGACATTCAGGGCACATGTGCTTGCTTGCAAGCTGGATGACCTCTGGGTGAGCACCTCGATGTCGTAGGCATGAGCTCAAAGCAGCATTGGATGGGTGACCTGTCTTTTTGTGCAAACGTTCAAGCATCTGGAGGACACCACGCTTCTCCTTCTCATTCAGGGGCTCATAGGTCTTCTTGGGTTTCTCTAGCTCCATGTCACCTGTGCCAAAGACGGGATAGGCGCAGGCTGGGATCACACCATTGGCTTCAGCCATATTCATCTCTTTGATGGCCTTGAAGATCACATCGCACAAAGCCGAAGGGTAGAAGCCTGAGTTGCGAGCCACTGAACCTCCAATGCATTCATGATGATGTGGATGAACTGCTGTGCCAGGACATGTTCGTGAAACTGCTCGAGCCACCACTTTGGAGGTCGTTTTGATCAGCCAGGGCTTTCGGATGGGAAGACCTGACTTCTCTTCCCGCAAGCCAAAGGCGCATCCGTTGGCGTGTCCACAATGAAGATCACCTGTCTGTTCAAGCCGGCTCCAAAATTGGCGAACCAGCTGAAGATTCCATCCTCGATTGTTCGAGGGCCACTCCCAAGCCACATCACGGCCTTGTTGAAGTTGATGAGTGGCGATATCAAGACCATTCTTGATCATCTTCTTCGCCTTCTGCTTTCTCTCCATGCTTTTGGCCTTGGCCAAGTCATCTTTCTCGTTGAAGAGCTCCTGGATGGGAGAGAAAGGTCCGCAGGGCAAAGAAAACCATGTCAGCTTTGGCTTCCAACGAGTGATCATGTTCTTGATCTCTTGAACTCCCTTGGAGGTGGCGATGTTGTGAGCTGGCAAACCAACTCTTATAGCCTTGCGTCCACGGTCCAGGAAGGTCTGAGTCAATCTCGAGTCCGGGGGGCAGCAGATCTCCATGAGGTCAATGCCATCTTCGGGAGGAAGGATGTCTTGCCATGCCGAATGAGCTTCTTCCAGGAACTCCTCCGCACAGAGGCATAGCTGCGTCCGCTGACTATCAGTCAAGAAGCCACATCGACCATTCTGGTACTTCTCATCGTCCTGAATCGGGTTCTCGAGGGGTTCGATGGTCGGCATCATGACATTCTCCGGGATGAAGTCATCTACACCTTGTCGGGAGATGCCTGCTCGGGCGAATCCGGCTCCTTCACCAAGGACCATTCCTCGTGCTCTGGAGTCTGGTCGTTCTCCCTCTTGGTGGACTTCTTCTGCTCTGGTGTCACCTGAGCTCCCTTTTGAGCCGAAGAGGCATGGACCGATGGCATCTCGGTGTCCTTCGCTGCACCTGGTCGTTGCCGCGGTGGATTCTTCTTCTTGGACTCTTCGATCTCCTTCAAGCGGCGATGCAACGAATCCTCGGCCCCTTTGTAGCCCACCGACTTGGCATTGAGCTGCTCGCGGTACATGGGATCCTCCTTGATCTTCTGGGGCTCGAGCTGCTCGATGGTCGTGGTGACATCCGCAGGTAGTGGACCTGCTTGTCGGTGCAGTGCTGTTGCCCCGAAGGCTGGGGTGTAGGAAATCCGCAGCCTGCAGGTCTCGCAACAAGTCCACATCCCAAACTTGTTTCGTCCCGTCAGGGACCCTCTCCTGGGTGCCATCGGGATATGATTGCCAAAGCACGGAAATCCCTGACTCCTTGGATCGTCGGCTGGAGGACCAGTGGTTCTGGTCAGGTCGTACTTCTCTGGAGTCGGGGTTCTGTCCTTTCGGGACTTCCGCTGAGGCTTGGAACTTGTAGTCGAAGTCGTCGAGCGGCTTGCCGGCGTCCCAGTGCTTGGAGCTGACTCCAATTCCTCCTTCGTAGGGATGCGACCCTGAGTGGCCATAGCCATGAAGCACAGGGTGGAGAGCACGGGTAGCTGCAGCAAGCGTAGTCAAAGCTTTCGCCACAGATGGCATGCTTGAGCCTGTGGCATCCGGTGTTGGTGACGTGGTCAAACATGTTTGCTCTGCTGAAAAGTGCGGCTTCGACTCGATCGGACACGATGAAACTCTCTCAAAAACATGACTGTCACAAAGTTCCGAATGCTCTTGACCATGGGAAGGTGCACAAACAAAATCATGTGGTTCCAAATCATGAGCATGAGGGACATGAGGATATGTGCTGCACGATCGCTCCATGTATGCTCCGGCGGTTGTGGATGCACTGTTTGGCATAGGGTGATACCAGTCACAAGTCATGTCCAGCAGCAAGTGTTCATTCGAACTCTGCTTCAGCTGAATCCATTCTTCTGAGAACTTTCGAAGCTGCATCATGTTGCGCTCTGTATCGATGACAGCTCCCATGCGTCGCAAAGTGCGAACGCTCAACAACAAAGGAACTCCAGGTGCATCAATTGCGTGCACACCTAAAGCAACTTTTGTTCCTCCAATCACTTGAGGAAGCTCAACAAAGGAGGCGGCTCTCTGAGTGCCACCATTGCCGAATTTGAACTTCTTGGTCTCCTCCTTCACGACCACTTCTTCTTCTCATCCAAACTTGATCAACCGCAGGTTCATGATCTCCTGCAGGGCATCTAGCGACGCGAGGGATTCCGTCGCTCCCAAATCAATCACTGCATGGCCAGGGTATTCAACGGCCACTGCAGCCAAGGATGAGGCTGTGTCCTCACCATCTGCTGTCAGCACGGTGGTCTCGCTGTCATCCACCGAGAGGATCACGAAGACCTGGTTCTGGAAGTAGTTTGGCCTTGCCGATGAAGATGTTCCTGAATCCCCATTCCGGCGAGGGCACGAGCGAAAGTCATGCTCCTTTGAACCGCAGATGAAGCATCCGCGATACTCAGGGTTCCCAGGGCGCTGAGTGCCCGAAGAACCCTTGCCCTTCTGAAAGCTGGCCAGTGCTGTCGAGGTGGATGATGGTGGTGAACCAAAAGAACCTTTGGGTTTCCCCTTTTTGCCCTTCCCTTTGGACTTGCCCTTGAACATGGAGAGGGGGTAGTAACCACGTGAGTGCTGCTTAGCATAGTTCAACTTCCTGCTATCCCGAAAGGATCTCATCTTTTCTTGGAAGGCGGCATAAACAGCAAAAATGTTCTCTGAGTCATCGGGGTTGGAAAGTGCCATGTCTTCTGCGTCCAACCATTCTTTGTACTCAGTCCATGACCAAAAGGCTCCGGCCATGTCCTGAGCATAGAAGTCGTCCTCCTGCCAGGTCCAGGTCAGCTCTTGGCCATCGGGTGACCATGAAGTCCAGGCTGTAGCAGGTTCTTCCCATGAAGGATAGACCTCAGGAGGCAAACGATCACCAACCCAGTAGATCGAAGCTTCTTCGACCTCATCCATGTCGGGTTCATTCAAAAGTCCCCATTCAGAGTCCTGCTCAACCCAAAAGGAACGTCGAGGTCGAGCGAGATGAGGTGCTCGATGATGTTCGGCCATTAGCAACTCCTCCTCCTGATCTCTCATCGCTCGTTCCATGGTTTCCAGATCGAGCTTGTTGTTGATGGCGCTCAGCACCGAAAGCCGGGCGGCAGCAGGCAATCCACTGCGGCGCAGCAGCAACCAACCCAACAACTCTTGGGGGAGAATTTGAACATCATCAAACTCAAACTGTTCCCATTTCACCTCTTCTTCTTCAGGCCAAGGGGCAATGGAAGAGCTATCTTCCCACCATGACCAGCGATTGCGTTGCCAGTCCCGCCATTCGGCAGCAGTCCACCTTTGGTCATCATCCTGAGGGACCTCAGCATAATCACTACGCCGAGGGGCATCGGGCTCGAAAGGTTCCTGCTGATCGTCTCCAGCTCTACCGGGGTTGGAGGTCACTTCAACATCCGGAAAGGTGGCGAAGGTCTCATGACGGGCCTGTGGTGTTGTGCGATCCGAGCGTCGTTCACGACTAGGGGTCGTCAATGGAGTGGTATGTCCAACAGGTGCAGTCTCCTTCTTGGAGGATGTCGGCTGTGATTGCTGTCTCTGGCGAGCCATAGCTCGTTGAAGGCGTCTGTATGATTCCCTCAACGAAGTTGCCCATTCTGTCATGGAAGTTCCTGGTTGGCGCCTCAACTTCATGAAAAACTCTTCAAGTCGTTGGCCAACGTCCGGAACTGGTGTCTTGCACAGGCGCTCCTCCAGGAATGACAACAAGTAAGATGCTCCATTCGACTGCTGTAGCTTGGAGTGGTCGATCTCTGCCGATGCAACATCCCAAGCTTTGCCTGTCAACTGACTAGCCAACTCTGCTCCCAACAAACAACGCTTCTTGGGCTCCGTCCTCTCATATTGCAACCTAACTCTCTTCACATAGTCAAGCCACAATGTTGCATCACCATTCCATGTAGCAATGTGTTCCTTGCGCTCCACTGATGTCATGCTCCTGCAACAAACGAATTCCGGTTGCCCCAAACACCAGGGCGGGCCTCGAAGGCCAGATCGCTGTCCAATCCAACAATGCCTAAGGCAATCCAAGATCAACAGCAATGACCACCAACCCAGTAGGGAGCCCTGGAGTTCAGGGCTCCGCTACCAGTATTGGTAGCTGGCAGGCTCCAATGCAATGCTCAAGCAAAAGAGGCTGTCAACAACGGGGTTCAAAACCTGTATGAACTAGCAGACCAACCAAGGCCAATGTACCAAGGGTCTCAACCCTTCCAAGAGCGAGCGCTATCCGAAGCACCCTTTTCACTCACCTCGTAGCTCCATGGCGCGTTAAGCGCGAACAAAGGCAAAAGGACATCCTGGGATTTGGGCCACAGCAAACCGTCGGAGATCAACCATTCTCAAGCTTGGGGGAACACAAGTGGCTGTACCTGTCAAGAACGTTTTCCGAAACTGGGCCAGGGAGTCTCGCGCCTTGATTGGCAATGAACAAATCCATTCGATCTCAACACCGACTCGACATGCTTGATTTCCCCACCACGTCGAGCCACAAATGTAGGTGCTGAACGCTCGAGGCTCTGCACCAGCCATCAAACTCGTGACGAAGAAGGTTGTAGAAACACCAACCTGTGGTGGGGATTTCTGCAAAGAGCTCTGGCACTGGAACCATGTTGAATCATTGCACCATACTGCACCACAAACGTGGCAAGGTGCTTTGTTTCCGGCAACGTGGAATCTGGAATCAACGAAATTAAACAAGTCTGAAACTATGACATATTGTTGCCTACTTGGGGGCACCTGGACGGTACTTGGCTACTTGGGAGCGACTATAGGAGCAATGAATAATTGAGATATTTGCAGGGAAGCAACAGTCCAAAGATGATACGCCACACCTACTGTTGATCGTTTGTCGTCCTAAGGCCCCAGAATAAATCGGAGTTGGACTCAACTCACCCAATCGCAGTCAACGAAGTGGAAGGTACAGTTGCTGGCTCAAGCAAAGCAAAGTCTGAAAACTGTTGACCTCCCGGACTCCAAATCCCAGGTCTTCCGGCCAATGTTCAAGGACAGTCTCCAACGCCAGTCCTTCCCCGTCCCCGGATGCATCCCCTCTGGACATGACAAGGCTCTGGAAAGAGGATGCTGCAAAATGACAAGATGCGCCACAACAAGCCATCCTGGTAGTCCTTGCACACGTCAGCGATGGCATGCGATGGCGAGACATGAGACATGTGAAACACAGTGTTTGGACACATCCAGTACCGTTTCAAGAGACTTCGCTTTGTTCAGTTGAAGTCTCATCGGATCCCAAAGCGCACGCCCAATCGTCTCCGACCGAAAACACGATGTCCAGTGAAGTCCAGTCTGAGGGAAATGGCTTGGCGTTCGACATGGATGTTCAGCATCTGTTTGGATGGGATTGCCGATAGCCCCACGGGCGGGGAATCGCTGTGGTCGCACATGTATCGCTGTGGTTGGATCTGTTGGGTATCTCAAACAAAGATCCAGAGACGCCACAAAGACCCAGCCATAGACCCATATGGCCCAGCCAGCATACAACAAAGAACTCAATGACACATACCCCTGGTATGCTCCTGACCCACCGTGCAATAAACACATTGGTTCACCGACCTGGCCCACTTGTCAATCAACATGGTAGAGAAGCGGTTGTTGGGCGTTCATGATCCTTGGAAACATCATATCAGTATAGGAGTTCAACTTCAACAACAGTCTGGTTGGTGATTGAACACCATCCTTAAAATGCCAGTGAAATGGCATAACCATTCCGAAATGTGCATGGAAAATAGCTCTCAAACCACTGGGTGGTAGTGGCTGTTGGAAGTCCAGGCTCCACTGTTCCACCAAGGCACTAGAATCCCCACCAAAGCCAGCAAGACCCGTGCGGCCTTTGACAGTGCACTACCATTTGGCGCCTGCTCACTGTCCTGCGCCGTTGACTGTCGTCACTCACGGTCTGATCCTGTCAGAAATGAGATACCTGGTTCGGGGTTCTTCCTTCCTTCCTTTCTTTGCACGTTCAGTGTCCTAAGGCTCTAAAGACTCTCTGCAAATCTCCACAGCCTCAGCCTTTCGGTGGCCCCACCAGTACCCATCGGTCGGGGGATCGGGCTCGGGACGGGGTCAGCTCCTGCCTTCCGTACTCCCCTGCAAAGGACCACATGGAACCCCAAGACCACTGGGTTGTAGAGAAAAAGGGTCTTCCATGGGTCAATTCTTATGTTCGTTTGCAGGGGGGTATCTGATAGGTGGATCCAGGACAAGGGGTCGCCCTGAATTGGCCGGCGGCTCTTCCCAGGCCGCCGAGGGCTCCTCATCGGAAAGAACTGGACTCATCCGGTTCAGGTCAGTGGTGTTGGCGGTATTGTGCCCATTGTGCCTGAACAGATTTGGTGACGGTGAACAGATTTGGATGTCACAGGGATGTGACCGGGTGGTAGGTTCCTTAGCTTCGAGGTTTCGAGAAGAACATAGAAGAACCCTGTAGTTGAGGCAATAGGAGTAATACGATAAGACTATAAGGAACTTGCAACATGATCAATGAACATGATCTTCCTCGAAGACTTTTGGACATTACTCTGGAAGGTATCATGTTACACGCCCAACTTTCCTGATGGAACCACCTTTACTGGAGGGCTGCATTTAAGTTAAAGCAACTCGAGCTCTTTGTCTTTGATGGATTATCTGATCACAAATATGGAGAATATCGGAAATCTGTCTTTGTGGCTCAAGGTACCAATGGCTGTTCTGGTACAAGTACATGTTCAGACTGGCAATGGGAGGAAGCCAAAGCTGAATAAATGTTCACAATGAACGAGCGTAATTTGGTACACTGTGAGACCTTGGTTCGGTTCTTCAAGTTGAGATACGATGTGCTACGCCGCCTTTTTCAGGTGGGTGTTCCACCCACCTGGCAAACTATAACATGAGTCCATGTAATTTCCCCCAAGCAAATTGGCTTTTCCGATTAGACCGTCATTCTTCCTGCTCCGCCCTGCCACACCCTGCCATCCACAGATTCACGCCTTTCGTTGGCGCTTTTGTAATTCACCAGCTCACTATCATGATTGTCCCTCAACTCTTCCAAGCTCACCCGGCGACACCGCACCAAAATCCGCCTGGGCTTCGCTTCTTGGTCCGGACAGTCGAGCTGTCCATGGGTGGAACCGGGGTGAACCCAGCACTTCCAAGCCATCTTACATGGCCAGAATGTGTCCACTGTCATTGATTAGTTTAGTTTAGCTTTATATAGTGCTTCGAAGCATTTCGAAGCCACATCAGGCTGTACATACATCTGTGATCATCTGTGGTGCCAAAATATGCCCAAATCTCATTCAAGAGCCAACGGTCTTTGGCCGAAATGCATTCATTGGAGGCCAACACGAAGAAACAACGGATATATCGCCACGGCGCAGCGGCGCACGACTCGTACGGCGCAGATCGGCTCACCGAGGCACTTTCGGCTGCTCTTAAGGTGATTCACCTTGCTGCTACTGTGCTCTGGGACCTCCTCTGAGCCGAAGTGGTCCTGGGTACCCGTGGCGCACCGAAGCATGTGGACGAAGACATGCGGGATATGCCTCAAACAGAACGGGAAGGGCGATGGAATCGCCGGTCCAAAATCAGTGCAAAAGTGTCTGGTTCTGAAGGGGCACCTTAGTGTCAAATGGAACGCGACAGGCTGTCCCTTCCTCTCCCCCTCATCGGCCATATATTTCTCCCCGATCCGCGACGTCAGCGTCCCAGACGCGGGCCGGCGCCGTGCCGCCCGGGCACATCTTCCTCGCTCGGGGAGCTGGACCCCTCCTCTCCCGCCGATGCAGACTTCGATGCAGACTTCACCTTCGCGGAGTCCGGGATAATGCCTGGGAGGAGTTCACGAGTTCGCGGACGAGGCAGACTTGGCGATCGGAGCGATCTTAAGCTGCAGAAAGGGTGGCTGGTGAAGGATGTTTGGGACCAAAGGGGGACCTTGGGGCTGCTCAACACTCTCAAGGTCTCCAAGGTGCTTGAAGAATGGAACTCATTTGGCCAAAAAGCGAAGCAAAAGGACAAGCACAGGGTTCCACAGCAAGTAAGTGCATGGGAAGGTGGAATTGTCATGAGTTGTCCTGCTTTTGGTCCGTCTCGAAAGATTGGACAATCAACTGATCTCTTGAAGCTTCTGAAACACGTGGAACAGCTCGAGGGAACATTCAACCATGGTGCATTCGATGGGGTTGACCGGTTGACACTCCTCAAATCTTTGGGGAGTTGACCACACCTTCTGCATGATTAAACAGGATGTGTGCATGCTGTGAACAGGATCTTGCATCCAGGCCGTGTTGGTCTGGATGGAAAGAGGGGCCACCAGCGTTTCAATCTGAACATCAATCTGCTGATTTCTCCGGGTGTCCAGGAAGGAATTTCAGTTCTAGAAGTCGTGGTCAGGTGACCTTTCGCTGGAAAAGATAGTGCCAGGACGCATAGTTTGACCCCCACCAATCGACTATAGGGATACATAGGGATTGTCGGTTTAGAGTTTTGGGGGTTAGGGTGCGCTGTTTGTCGCATGGAATCGCTGAGAACTTGCTCATTGTTGAATGTAAATGAATGTCATCTCATCTTTGTCATCGAATTGCCAAAACCATCCAAAACCGACGATAAAGCTTCAAATGCCTAAAGTCTTCCGATTGTTCTTTGCAGAGAATTTGCTGCCCCCCAGGGGGGTTGGGGGCAAAGCGTGAGTCCTTGGTGAAAAGACCGTTCGAAACTGAGCAACGTGGTCCTTGTGCGAACTGCAAGGGGATGCTCTTGCGAAACTTCTGGATCAGATCTACCATGGGAGGAATCCACCAGCACACAAGTACCTAGTACCTAGTACTGAAGAAATCCAGACTCCAAACTCCCAACAATTCAGGACCTGACCTCTGTGTGCGACCACCCAAAAACACCCGCGCACACCGCGCACACCGCGTCCCGAAGGGCGTCCTAAGGCATTCCTCCGGGGCACTGTCGAGCTCTCCCGGCAGCTCCAAGCATAACACGGAGGAGCCTTTGGAGCCTCGCTTCCGAGAGCTTTCCTGCAAGGCACGCGAGAGCACGACGCGGAGCACGCGAGGGCACTCGTGCGTCCAAAAAGCCGGAAAGAAGACGATGAAGAGAGTTCGGTGGACCGGGTGTTGTCAAACATCCGTAGTATGATGTTGGTTCGGTCTTGCACTCGCCAACGCGAGACGGTTCCAAACGCTCCTCACACTACCCTTCCACTATTGTAGCGGGGGGTTCCAGACGTTGTAGGGCATGACATGACAAGTTGTACATGTGACTCGTGATTAACATGGTGTCAAAGCAATCTGAATTGAAAAGGCTGTATTGGCACGAACGCATGAATAATATGAGCTACATAGGTAGGAATTAACGCAAATTATATGGCAAAAAAATCTGGCCAGCGGTCATGGTTGGTAAGTTGGTCCTGCCCCTTCTTCATGGCAATACACACAAATCACGGTTGAACAAGTCGATAGCATCTTGTGGCACCTCTGTGAAAGTATAGGTATAAAGAGCGCAGGAGCACCCGGCAGAGCAATGTATATATATATATATATATGCGAGTCTACTAGATGAAACGGTGGATTGGAGGGGAAAACACAAATATTAAATATGCTTTTGGAGAGCTTTCATTGCAAGGTCCATGTACGGGAATGTGGGTCGGAAAGCTACAATATATTTATGAGCCGGGCAAAACCCGGCGAAAGCAAAGACGAGCACCCAGTTTTCTTTGCTTGGGTAAAACGCTGTATAATGTGTAAGGCCCGACAAAGCTTCAAACGTAATGCTTCACCACCAACCGCAATGCTTCACCTTGAGTCCTGATGGGGCCTTTTGCGGCAATTGTATCTCTGGTGAGTTATAAGGAAGAGCTTTGGTATGATGAGCTTGCCCCGGTACACGTATCGGTATACGCATTCCGGCAATAATTATATATAAGGAACTTTCATGAAAGATGGTTCTTTCATTGGCTTGGTTTTTTCAGCTTGGAGAGTGTTGGTTGGATCGCTAAGCCCGTCCTATTCGCAAGGCGTTTTGATTAAAAGGTGACAGGTAGATCGCCATGAAGCGCCCTGCTTCTTGTGTGAAGCGTCCAGCAAAGCGACCAGCGAGGAGATCCGGGGAAGTTGGGTGCAGGGCGGAAAGGATCAATTTTGTATACCTTTGAGCGAGACATGATCAGCTTATTAATTATTTTGGAGTCCCACAACGACTTCAATTTTTTTTTTTAAATCCCAGAGTGGTAGATTGGAATTCCAAGCTTTCTGCAGCTGCAACCGCCAAGCCATGCCCAAAAGTGTTCAGATAGGGACTCTGCTGGCTAAGCCATGTTTGTGTGGCAATCGCAATTGCTTCAAGCAATTCGAGGATGATCGCGCAGCGGTTGTGGCTGAACGGAACCGGTTTCAAGCGCTGGAACCACATAGAAAAGAGACTGATGCAGAAATTTAACATATTAGGTCTTATTTATCCATGATTGTTGAAAGTTATCAATATTCTACTCAGAGTTGTTGTCACCTATTTTTTGAACACATCGCCAAAGGAAGCCCAGCTGCGGCAGTGGTACTGCATTGCTGATGGTCTTGTGGCTTCAAGCAAGGAGCCAACGGGTGGGGATGATGAGTCCAATGAATGCTTACTGCAGACAGAGTCGGAGGGTGAAGTCCTCGCTGAGACACCTTCTGGTTCAGAAGCATGTCAAACAGAGTTTGATGATGGGCCTGATGGTGAACTTTTGTTGGCGACTGATTCAGAGAATGAAGTCGCTCAGCCACCGGCCAAAAAACGCCGGTACCGTGCCAGATCATCAGAGCAGCTGACCTTCCTTGGCAAACCAGTGTGCAAACATGCTCACGCTCGTTTGTACTCCGTGAGTGCTAGGGCCATACAAAATGTTCGTGACGGGGGTCAAGCCTATACAGGTACTGGGGAAGCTAGGCTTCCAGAACCAAAGCATGAGGCCCTGAATGTTTCCCTGAGGAGGGACGCGCAGCATGTGAAGTGGCCGAATGTCCTTGCGTTCTTTTGGATGCTGTATATTTCGGCTGCAGAGATCTTACCTACCAAACTGACAATGCCAAGGGCAGGTAAGTTTGAAAGTGTTGGAACTGCCGATCCAGACTATGAAGAGCGGTATGTTCAGTCGTTCATGCAATCTCTGGAAAAGAACTTTGATCCGAACCCAGCCACTTCTTTGAGAATTTCACGTTTACAAGTTTCTCTTGGTCTGTATTCTCCAATTTGTGGGTTCTACCATAATTGAGGGTTTGTAACTTTTGGGCATCTGTACTAAGGTAAACTTGGCTGGACCGGGCACATTCAGCGGCCCCAGACGTTACATTGAGTGGACACAGCCAATCGACATGTTCTACCAGTACCAAGTGTTCGCACAGTCCCGAGGTGAGCAAAGTGCTTCTTTTGCCACATTCCTCAGGATCAAGAAAGCAATTTTCCAGACGCACTTGAAGTGTCGGGATAAGGGGGAGCATGGACAGTGTGATGTATGCTACAAGCTCAGGCAGAAGATAAAAAAGGCTGCCACCAAAGAGATCAGAACATCTTTGGTACAAACGTACAGCCGCCATTTGCTTTCGCAATGGCTAGATCGTTCATTCTACTGGCATCTTCGAGCTCAGAGTCGCACATACTTTGCTGAATCACTTCACTTGGCTGCCAAAATGATGAAATCATCACTTTCCACCAGCACATTGACTATGATCCAAGATGGCATGGATCAAAGCAAGCTGCGGCTTCCAAGACGAGGTTTCCTTCAAAGCAGCAAGAGTTGGCAGAATATTTTTCGACCAGCCTGCCATTTGGTGGGCACCTTCATTCACGGCTATAAGCTGAGTCTCCACTTGAGCGATGAGGATTTGAAAAAGAACTCAGAGACTTCAATAGAGCTTGTGGCCCGCGCATTGTCTGAGGTGGTGGATTCATTTGGCAATGTTCCCATCCAAATCCACCTCCAACAAGACAATTGCTACAGAGAAGGCAAAAACAAGTTCATGCTTCAATTCTTCCTGCTGCTCTCCATTCTTGGAGCTGCCAAATATTTGACACTTGGATTCCTCAGGACGGGACATTCACATGAGGATATTGATCAATGCTTTGGTCAAATATCCAGGGCATTGCAAGGAAAGTCAATTTCAAGTCCAGCGGAGATGATTACACTTTTGGCAAACCTTTCAGGATCTGGCGATGGGAAACGCATCAGGAATTCTGCCTCAAGTGCTGCGAAGTTGGATGAGTGCTGTTGTTGGAAGGAGTTTTGTAAGCAAGTCGGTGTCTCCTTTAAAGGAGTTCGCAGGGTCCACTTCTTCCGGTTCAGTGCCCGCAAGGACCTCGGCTCAGATGTCCTGGACCATGCCTTGGAGCTTGAAGAGCTGGGCCAGCGTTGGTGACCAAGCGCTGCCTTGCAGACACAGAAGTTCAAAGGGCCATAGCAGTTGTGCCAGCAGCTTCAGTTGCTCAGATTCGGAGTGGCTTCCATCCACCTGCAGGTATTGCAGCTCGCGGGCTATCACGGCCCAGGTCCGCAAGAACATTGCAAAGACCGTTCCGCCGGTTGCCACAACTGGTGAGATGACACAGGAAGGAGCTCGGTACCTTCTTGATTGGAGTCGTGGTCTTTTGGCTCGATGCCCCAGACCACAACATTATTCCATTTTGGGACATCGGTACTCGGCCGACCTTCGTGAGCCCCATCATCCTGGCCATTGGACCACACCCAGACGTGTGAAGCATGTTGATGTGACTTTGGATCAGGATGCCATTGATGGAGGGGTCAGTAGTGGCGCCAGTTCTGAGGATGAGGACCTAGGTCTTCCGGTAGGTTTTGATGAGTGACATATGGCAGTGATTGATGGTCAAAAAGGTTCATTGCAGAAGTCTTTGGAGATGAAATAATATGACATAATATGATCCCAGGAAAAAACTATGGGAGGTGAGTGAAAGGGGGTATATGTTTACTCCAAAACTAGCCACGGCCAGCCATTATAGTTGCTCACTTAAGGTCGAGATGAACCCCAGCACCAAAGGTTTTCAGCCTCCCTTGATTGGTTTTTGTTCAGCAGCAGCACTCTGCGCACTTTCCAGGAGTGATGCACCACCACGAGCTGATGCCGATGCTTCAGAGGCCTCCGAACAGGAAGTGCTTCTGAGCTCTGATGCTGAAGTTGAAGAAAAGAAGTCGGCAGGCGAGATGAACACTTCTAGTTTCAGACTATTTTAGAGTCAACCTTTCTAGGGGGATCAGGGCCTTATGATGCAGGTTGCTCCATGTGTTCTAAGCTTAATGGCAATGAGTGGTAAACTGGCAGGTGTATCTGACCAAGAACTGTTGTTGGAGTCGGACGCGGAGCATGAAGCTGGTGTTTCCAAGCGACCAGCACTGGCAGGAGATGTGGGGGATCCTCGCTAGTTTCCAAATCTGGTCATTTTTGACTCATTTGTGTTTGTCAGGTTGTTGAAGTTTTTTGTGATGCTAGGTTCTTTTCAATCAAGCTTTCACCCAACCTAGATAGATGGATTCGTGCACCAGTTCCTCAACGACCCAGTTTTCAAAGACTTGCGAGACCGAGTGTCCCGGAATTTTGAAGACATAGATGGCGTGAAGATTGGATCCCTTTTCAGTGGGTGGGGCGTACTTGAGATGGTAACGGCCTCGTTGCAAAGCCAGTGGAATTCATCTTTCTCAAAGCCCATTCAGGCGTGGGATAGTGAACCATGTGCTAAATTAGAATCCAAATGATCAACAGTTTGGGATTAAATTAGTTTTTTGGGGTTTGGATATAAATTCATGACGCGCCTGGGACATGTGCCTGTCAGGTGGACGTTAAGTTCATGGTGGAGATCGATGAGAAGAAGCAGGCCTACCTGATGTCAAGGTTTCCGGAGGCTCTACTCTTTCAAGATGTGAGCGATGTGTCTCAGAAGTTTGCACCTACAGCTGATGGTGGCAGAGCTCCAGTGCCAGAGGCAAGCTGCCCAAAAGCAATGGTGTTGTCCCATCAGTGGCCCATCAGTAGTG